GACACAAAGTGCAGTGGTGTATACTTTAACACTCTTCTTTCTCTTCATTTTCTTTTCCTCTCATCTGCTCTTGTCTCCCTCACAGACCCTTTCTGTGAAGTGGCACAGAAGAGAAAGAGCTGAACGCCTGTGTCTGCTTACTGGGGCAAGTGAACATTTGAAGTGACAGAGGGTGATGCTGGCTTGAGTGCTGGAGAAAATGCCTCTAAGCTAAGTGAAGGACCATTAGGGAGACAGTGATAAGATGCATGCATGTAGACAGGGCCTACACAATGTTCACCTTGAACAGTTTGGTTTCGTCTGCCTAGGAGAGCAATCACATGGGGAGAGTGCAGCATCAAACTCCAATCAAACTCCATCTCAGCTGACAACAAAATCAAACTGGCGTACTCATGTCAAAAGGTCCAATGGCCCACACAACCTGTTATTACTCATGCACAGTGGCTAGCCATTATTGAGATACCTTCTCACTTTTTTCAGCTTTTTTGGCATTTAGCAACTCAACAGAACCTTTCAAGAGTGACCACAACACTGACGGTCTGAGAAGAACTTGTCAAAAAGCAACAATTTAAAACGAAGGCAAAGACTGAAACAATTTTATATACTGATGTGAGGGACTGGACACTCCACCTGTTCAGGTGAACAGGTTTTATTTCTGATACATTTTAGAAGAAAATGTCCTTGCAGTCTGAAGATTATACGATTATAAAACACATTAGTTTTCTGATAATAAAGCACACATTAGACTGTAAAATTTTGTTCTAAAGAGCAAGATTTACAAAATTAAGGGTAAAAGCAAAATCTAGATAGTGAAAACTATCTGGTTTTTGTTGTGACGTTTTATTGTGCCTTCAGCCAAGAAAAGTCCTGTCAGAGCAGATTATGCAGCAAACGTATAACTACACACACCTGAAAAAAGTTGACTAATCAGATTGAGTTTAGGAGTATGCAATAAAAAAAGTCTACAGTGAGTTTGATCAGAATTATTACAATATTTGAGTTAAGAGATGCCCTCTTCTGCTATATTATGAATGAATCTGGAGAGCGTGAAAAGATCAGGTCAGTTAGGCTGCCGTTTGACCAAGAGAAGAAAAGCACAAAAGGAAAAAATACCCGTGAGGATGAAGTCATCAACAAACTTCTAGCCTCTTTGCAGCTGAGGCTACGATGCCCTTTAGTTTTGTGGAAGAGGTTAGGGTGTAAAGAACTGAAAATAGCTGTTGTCTGACCAAAATTGAAAACGACTGAGTAATGCTCTGGTTGCAAATTAAACCTTGGAGGTATTTTGTTTGGTAAATCACTTTTTTTTTCCCATTTCAAAACCCACGAAAAAATAATTTTCTTCTGCACAGTTATGATTACCAACTCCGCATACTTCCACACAAGTATATTTTAGGTATGAAAATTAAATCTACAATGATACAGTTAATAATCCGTGGGTTTGCTTTTATTACAATTTTATTTTTTATTTATTTTTTTTTTTAAATTGTGTTTGTAAATTGAACTGTCCTGAGTATGTTCTGCCTCTTGCTAATTTAGGCTTCTCGTCCCCCTCCTCTCTCATCACACACACTCCTGACCCTGAACAGAATGACATGAACGCTGAAAATTATGTGGAAATGAAATCTGTAGAAGTAAAACTTTTGATTTTTTGAATCACTAAAATTAGAAACTGGAAAACAGGTCAGGATTTTTACAAATGTAGCAACACCAGAATAAAGATAAAGAATTAAGCAGCCTAGTCTCTATCTTCTCTCTTCTAACCGGTTTTTGCAGACTTGGAAATTTCTTAAATAATTCATGTTGTTAATAACCATCTTGCTCTCTCTTGGCACAGAGCAGTCCTGTGCAAATATAGCAATGTGCCTTTGTGTACACTTGTGACGGCACAGCAAAGTGAAAATGGAACTGTGTTTGAACAGTGCAGTGAAGGTGTACGTATGAATGTGTATGTGATTGCAGTATAAGTTATCAGAGAGTAGGCAGAATTGACTGATCTGATAGTTGACTGTGGTTATTAGGTGAGCTACTGAGTCAACACAGGGGGAAATCACAGATGCCTTCCCACAAAGACAAAAAACTCAAGGTCACAAGCTGAGCTGTTTTTGTAACCACCAAGTAGTTGGAGCAATGATAATGGCGCATAAATAGCGCAATGACAAAATATAAGAAAAACTCAATGGTTGCAGTCCAGATGACAAAATCACTTAATGAAACTCTCATTACAGTCATTGTTAGCAACATCACATCATCGTCATTTGGTCTTATTCAAGGCTGGTATTGTTCTGGATTATGTGAATTGCATTCTCTTTGTTACTGTCTCACAATCAGAGCACTTGTGAGCTCACCGTTTTATAAGTCCATCTGTTTCTCAAACGGGTGAGTAGGGGTGTGGAGGGGTGGGTAACAATACAGGGCACATTCTCTGCAAAGATGACCTTGGCGCGTCTGATGATTTGCAGAGAGCAGCAATATCAATAATAATGAAGAAATTAATAAGTCGGTGCATTGGCCTGGGGTCCAGACTAAAAGAGGCGGTGGAAGGGGGCATGGCTAGCAGAAAAGAGAAAATGGAAAAAAGGTTGGGGTGGTGTACAAGAGGGGGTGGTAAGTGCACGATTTCCTTCGCAGCAGTGTGGTGCTGCAGTCCACGCTGTCACACGTCAAAGAGGGAGCAAATCAAAGGCAGCTCTTTTGATGAATATAAAACAGAGAGTCCTGCTGAGATGCACTCTCCCTCCCTCCCATTCTAATCACACAGCCGCAGAGGAGACTGGCTGCACCAATTCAGCCCCCCACCCTCCTACACCCCGGCACAAAATGAAAGGCGAGAAGAAACAAGGAGAAGGGGACAGCGAGCACACACAATCACAACAAAGCCTGCTTCATAATAGCAATAAACACTTGTTCTCTCGAGACATCTGCGCAGAATGCTGGGTGTGGTGTGGTAAGATACAGGAGAAGCTGAAATGGCATCAACAATTTCTTACCCCCCACCAACCCTGAAAAAAAGGTTATTTTTCCAACAAACAACAAACAATCCAATATTTCTCTATGTATGAACTGTACATTTCTCCAAGTCTTGAGAGAAAACATCAATTTTATATTTACTTCGGAGCAACTGCACTGCTAACAAAACTGGTGAATTTAAAATGTCCTCCTTAGCAACACTAAAAATGCTAACTCGGTAACACAGTCAGACATTTTCCCCTGATAATAAACTCATAAAATCTTTCAACAAAGAAAGCTAACGTCATCTTTAACAAACAGCTAATGAGTATTGTGTTTTAAGTGTTACCTATTAGGAACAACGGCATGATTATTAGCGATTACATACTCTCCAATTCTCTATTTTTTTATTTTTTTTTTAATCATTTTAGTATAAACCTCTAAATAAGAATTTTCTCTCATTTCAAACAAATCTAAATGTGCATCATGGCTTCCATTCCCCTTGGGATTTGCTCCACCATTGGTCCCCAGGCAGTATTTGTGTGTGACACCAAAGCCCACTCCCACCCAAGTCCTGAGCCCAGAAAGTGACACATGCATGGGTGTCGCTGCCGTTTCACCTCCTGCCTGCTGAGGTATAAGGCAATTTCCTCAGAGTGGCGCATGGTGAGAGAGAGTGTAAAGGGCTAGCCGCAGCCCAGCTCTGCTGCTCTCTTTGATACTGTCAAGGAAGAGTAATGGCTCTCTGCAGCAACAGCCACCACCAAAACTAATGTAGTGTGACTTTGGTTCTCCTTTCCAACAGATTACCACTACAGTGAGGAAGAAGGGAAGATGACAGCAAAAACTGTTAAAAATGTAAAGAGGAACAGAAAAATCTATACAAGACACAGCAGAATCCTATCACAGTTGAGATTCAAATTTCCCTACTTATGATACTCGTGTTCTCAGCATGTTTGCTGTTGCCAAATTCTACTACGAACCAAGCAAGGTCTAACTCCTGTTAGTCAGAACGGCTCTGAATAGTAATTTGCCAGAGGGATGGCAGCACAGTAAGCCAAAGCAGCAGGGTGAAGAGTTCGTACAAAATTTTGGTATGGTCAACTTTATTTTTATCTCCAGCAAACATGGAAGTCAAATTGATTTAAACTTTGATTATTGTTTTACCTTGATAGACATGGAAAATATACTAGACTTTTCTGATGCTCTTAAAAGTTGCCGTGGATGACCTTGAACCAGACCTTGAACACCCAAGTTAATTTTATATACTCAGATAAAGGAACACCAGAACTAGCATGTGAAGAGGCCAAAAGTTAGGCCAAAAAGTAATGGCAACCACCTAGTTTTGTGCTTACAAACAAACAAACAAACAAAAAAAGACGTGGCTCACACAGCCACATGGAAACATGAAACCAGTGTTCTGAAATGCATCCACTCTAGATTCCTGTTTCAAAAATCACTGTCTAGTCTCCCAAGACGCTGAAGCCGTGTAGATGCAAAGCCTAAACCAGGGGTCACCAACTCCAGTCCTCGAGGGCTACCATCCTGTAACTTTTAGATGCGTCTCTGCTCAAACACACCTGGATCAAATAAACTGCTCGTTTCCAGCCTATTGCAGAGAGGAATGAATGCTGGTGAGGGAATTCAGGCATTTTGGAGCAGAAGTGAATCTAAAAGTTGCATGATGGTAGCCCTCGAGGACTGGAGTTGGTGACCCCTGGCCTAAATGATAAAAAACAAACAAACAAACAAACAAAAAAAAACTGCATTTTCATCTAAAATTGTCTCTGTGTGGATGAAGCCTTAAGGCATATTCTAGGATATGGTGCATATTCTGTGAGTCGTGCTGACTCTGTGCTCAAGGTTGGGATTTCATTTTCAAGCATACTGATAGCCTACATTTCTCATGACAAATTCTTTTATTTCCCACAGTCCTAGTGGATACAAGCAAGTTTGATGAGCTTCTTGGGCACCTAGCCCTGTTTCTTCTCCTTCAGTTCAGTCAACGCAAACTTGTGTGCGGGACAGAGAGTGGCAGTCATGCTGCTCGTACCCACAACTGGTTGTACTGACTCTCAACCTTATCAGCTCGGTGTCACATGCAAAAATGTTTGATATGAACACTGCTTCCTGCTGAGCAGTTTACTGTGTGACACAGAGTATGCTTACGCGGCCATAAAAATTGACCTTTGCATGGACATGTCCAGCGGACATCCGCTTAGAATCTGCCTTGAGTACGCACAGACGTGAAGTTCACCCGAGAAATTTAGGGTGTTTAGTTTGCTGTTGATTTTGACTTTAACAAGTTATACAATTAGAAACATACTTAGCAACCAGCCATTCATAGACTACTGAGTACATATCATAAACCTACTGTAGGCTTTTTTGTAACTTGTGTATTAAAAATTCACAAAGATCATTATATGGCACCTGGACTGAACAAATCTATGTCCAACGTAAAGAGTAGTTCACAGTTGTTTATGTCAAATTTATCTTACAATGTTAAATTTATGGTCAAATTTACGATACATTAGGCAGATAAGCCACAGGGGCATATCTGCAGATATCCCGCTTGTATGCAAAACATACCAATTTAATAGAAAGAGGAATACTTGGTTTCTATTTTGAAGTTCTAATTAACTCATTGGCATTTTTTTTAAAACCACAATTAAGCAACTACAAATATACTTATCTGTTTATTCAATGGGTTTCAAAAGGATATTTCAGTTTGGGAAGTAGGGATTCTTTAGGCACTTATGAATAGTTATTACCTAACCTGAAGTTGGCAGTAAGCTCCATAAAGACAGAAACATGTTTATCCTTGAATACTTGTTTAAATTGTCAGAAATGGTGTGAATTTAACAGTGATGGGGAAAAAAAGAAAGGGAAATGGTTCAAAGGAGAATCGGATGAGGTGAGTGTAACAAGGCAGGGGCTGTCTGAAGCCTGTGGCCTGGGGCATTGCATGGAGAGAGACGAGGTTGTGTGAACACTGCAGGGTACCGTTTGAACGCAGGGGCTCCTCTAACAACTACGAAGGCCAGGCTTTCAGCACCATGGGTCACAACTCACAACAGCCTGGCATCCATGGGTCTCAATGAGGCATTAAAAAACACAGAAGATGGTAAATAGAGAAAAAAGAAACAAAGAAACATTCAACAGAGGAAGTAAACATTTCACAATCAATGCATTATGAAACTGTTATTCCATTTGGTGTAAAGCAAATGTCTTTTTCAAAGTGCAGCCTTCCCATGTACCCTCAAGACTGTTTCCTTTTTCTAACCAAAGTCAACGCCCACCTCTGTCAAGGCCTTCCACCCACACTTTATTTGTTCAGTGTTGACTTGTGAAACACTGTGACCTGCCTTCATGTATACCTGGGCTTCTCTTAATCTCTGGCTTCCCTGAGGTTGTCTTAGTAAAGCGGCGTTTCGACTGAATAATGTCCACATTTGAAGAGTTTTGCGTCTTTAAAGGGCAATTATACAATGCTCATTATTTCTGACCTCCTACCCACAGCAGACCCAGCATACTGCCTTTACTGGGAAATCTGGTGTTCCAGATTTCCTAGACCTCAGCATTAAGAAGGTTCTTTGATCCCTCCACTGTGACAAAGCAGCAACACCAGTCTTACTAAATGAACCACGCAGAGTTCATGCAGCAGGAAACAATATTAAGTAGAGCTTAAGAGAAATTATGCAGATCCCCTGAGAATAAATAAAAAGAAAAGATTGGAGCAGAGTTCTGAGTATAATTAATTTAAATCAGTTGGAGGAAGATGTTTGATTCTGAATCTCTGAAGAACAGTCTAATAATACCTGAATTTTTAATGAACTGTTCTAGAAATTAGGAGTTTATTTAACAGAAGCCCAACATTTCTGTCAATATCTTGGAAAGTTAAGAAAACTACACTACAGATACTTCAATTATGTGATCTTAAAGGGATTTCAGTGCCTGACCAAACTTATCTCAACAGATGACTTTTAGGACTAAAAGCAACTATTTAACCAAGATTCCTTAAATATATCGATTTCTGCAGTACATTACAAATTATTTCTTGAATAGGGCCCACAAAAAGCAGTTTTAAGAAGAACAGGTGATCTCTTGACACAAGCCTGATACAAGTCAACCTGACTTGATTTAAAACTTAGCAGTAGCTTTTGCTTGTTTACGTATCAAAGTTCAACACCAGACTCTCTAAGATCTTAAAAAATGTCATAAATGGAATACCATGTTTTTAAATTCATACTAAGAGAACCCAAGCTTGCACAATGTTCAGTGTGAGCAATTTTGAACTTTCATACCAATGATACTAATCTTCCTCCAAAAGTCACCAGACCTTCAGTCATCAACACTTCAGGTAGTTTCTCTTTTAACCAAACACTTCAGAGTAATTGCTAGAGGTCAGCACTTTCATACTGAAAGAAATCAAAATGATAATGACTCCTTATTAGAAATACTACGTGGAAATTCACACAGGAAACATCAAAAGGTTTTGACAGGGTTCATAGGGTGGGGGCATTGATGAGGCTCAGTCATTATTCACATCAAAGCAGAAACTCAAAGAGGGCATCCATTGGGAACCCAGACTCAAACTGGTGCAGCAAAAATAAATACACGGATAGCAATTCTGCAATTGGGATAATTCACTCCTCTGAAATTGAAACATATTATTGGTAGCCATTACCAAAAGGAAAAAGCACTTTTAGGGGATGGGTTTATGAGTCCAGTTGAGGGACTGCCAGTGGAGATAGGTAGAATATAAATGATAGTAACACAGTAAAATGACATAAAAGAACTAATAAAATATATCACCTAGAGGAACCATGATGAACGTACACTGCAAATGTGCACTTCAGTAAACAACCAGACGATGTCAATTATATCAAATTGGGCCGGCTATGAAGCATTTCTATTCTGGTACTGGCACAATCAACCTTTTGACAGCAGGCTGTTAGATGACATCTGTCTGTTGTCCTCCAATTTGAGTTCCAAAACAAATAATTTTTGCATTTTCTTACTTCTAACAAGCCAAATCATGGTGACATGAGAGCTGTCTGTTTTATATATATATATATATATATATACATTTCCAGACAAGTATACTATTAAAAGTGCATAAATGAATTTTAAGTTGGGTGTACCAAGAAGTAGAAGATAATTACTTGAGAAAAATCTATATAATTCCTGTGATTCGAGATTTAAGTCATTGTATTGACCTCTTTACCGACAAACCATTTTATCTCGGGAAATAGGAAATGTGTACTGGAAGGCCAAATTACAACAGCATGTTTCAAGGCATCAAGTAATATTGCATACACGAGTTGCTTTGTGTTTCTAAGCAGTTAAAATAAAATGCATGCTGGCGATGTTTTGTACACCGGCATTCCTATGACTATTTATACATATTAACTAGTTATTACTCAATTTCTTAAATCACAATAATCAGAATTTTTTTTACAGCTATAAAGCCCCGTGTTTGAATCCTGGACTGGAATCTATCTGCTTTGAGTTTGTATATTCTCCAGCATCCTCTCACAAGCTAAAACTGTGACTGGTAAATTAGTCTTTCAAAATTGCTATTAGTAAAAAATGAGCATGTACATCATTGTTTGTTTTGTGTTGCTGTGATGTCTGTACATCACAAGGTTACATAGAGGCACAGAGTATAGTCCAAAACACACACACACACACAAAAGTCTACCAGAATAAGATGACCTCTGCAGGGTCTAGTGCTGTAGGCTGCATCAAGAAAATGCTGTGCTCTCAATTATAAGTGATGGAGTAAAACAAATATTTAACTGTTTTGAGCATTCACCAAATCTCCACAGATTGTGGTGGTTACATGTAGAGGTGGCTGAATGCTTGAGTGTAGGGCAAGGTTCAGAGGAGCCCAGGGGCAGCAGTGGTAGTTTATTTATGGCATGTGGTCTGCATACACTGAGATGGATAAAACCCTCCTCATTTATAAAGAACAAGCAGTGCTTTAATTACTGTAATGCTTTGGCAGAGAGGAGCCAATGTGCAGGTGCTTAGGCAGCAACCTAAAAGCATCTCAACAAGCACCTGGAATGAGCAACCCATTCAAATAAATATAGCAAAATATTAGCATACACTGGGTCTGCTATGGTAGGGCTCCAATTTAGGGAGACGTGCACAGATCTCCAAAAAGGTTGAGATAAATTCTTACATATACAAGACTTCCTAAATAATTAGAAAAAAAAGCCTCTATGATAAGAGATGCATCCTCTTCAAGAAGCCAAAGAAAGTCTAGTATTCTCTTAAGTATTGCTACTTTGATTCACAGACAAATATGTTAAGGGTCTTTATCTACTGTCTTAAATAATGAGGTCAAAAATATCCAACTATTCCTTCTGACTCTCCGTTCACGCTTACAATTGTTAAACATCCATTGGAAGCAAATTGAGGCAGTTTAATTTAAAAACTAAAACATTATGAAAGATGTAGAAAACATCTTCCTTAAAGGCATTAATCAAGGTGTTCAATGCTAATTTTGAACAATAAAATTGTGTATTTTTAAAAAATTGGTTTTACATTAATAAATAAATGTTGCAAAATATGAAAACTATGCTAAAACCAGAAAACAATCAATTTGCTCCAATGCCCCTTGTACTCTCCACCTCCAAAAAAGGAGAACCCTCATCCCCACTCAACAACCCACCAGTTTTCCTCTTCACATTTTTTATTCCAAGATATCTCCACTCACCCCTCAAAACCTAACCCTCCACCTACAAACCCCATTCTTTAACACAACTAGGGAATTTCAATCCTATTTCACATCCTAGAACAAATTCCTTTCCTGATTACAGATGCAGGCATCATTATATTTCAGACCACTTTTCTTTTAAAAATGGACTGAAAACCATTATTCTTGTTCCCGGGGGCCCCCTTTTACTCTTCTGCTATGCTCTTATTAGTCTGTCTTTCCTGCGGCCTGCTGGGGGATTCTCATCGCTATTCATTTTCTGTATCTCTGACCTCTGTGCGGATGGAATTCATCTGACCTATCCCTTGTTGTTTACATTACTTTGGAGAAAGGCAGCAACTGTCTGGTGCAGCTATTAAAACATACACACAAATAACACAAATAAATGCACAAGAGCCATGGAAATGCAGGAAGAAAACAAATGCTATATCTACTAAAGTCCAGCGGACCAGGTTTAAAAAATGTACTCAATACTACTGATTACCATTCTGGGTAACACTTTATTTGAAGGGGTGTGCATAAGACTGACATGACGCCGTCATAAACATGACATAACATCTGTCATGAACATGAAGAAATCTTTATGAATGTTTATGACTGTTGTCATGAAGTGTCATTCGGTAAATAATGACACTTTTAATGCAAAGTTGCTGTAAAAGTTGCATTGAAAGTCCATTAAAAATGCCAACTTTACATGAAATTATCATAATTGACAAAATCATGCAAAGTTGGCACTTAAACATCAAAAAGTCCTGCATGAAAGTTTAGATCTGATGTAAATACAGATTTTGTTTACACTACTATTCTCTAAGAGTTTTGCTTATATGTCTGTACAATGAATGAATAAAATTGGAAGCCCAACTTTTCAAAAACAAAGGCAAAAAATATGTACTGATGGCGACAGAAATAATCAGTCATAGAGGAGGGTTTTTTTGTTTGTTTTTTTGTTGTTTTTTTTTCGTGCAGGAGTCTTTCATAAAAGGTCTGAGTCATTGGTCTGTCTAGGAAACCCTGCAAAGAACTGTTGGAGTTGATGAGCTTGTCCAGCTGAATGATATACATCGCAAGCCACAGGCAAGAGCTGTCCATTAGTTAGCAGGGTTCTTGTAATGCCCAGCTCTAGTACATTATTTCCAAATGCATCAGTCAGCGTTGTGCAGCACAGATAAATTCTGATGCTTAGGATCTGTAATGCATACACTCAACGCTTCTATATTACGCGACAGGTTAGAAGGGCAGGAAGAGAGAGGGGGGAAAAATGTAATTTATTTTTTACTGCAGCCAGTATTCTTCCCATTAGCTTCAAACGTGAGATAAGTTATGGACTTTAACGAGCACCTTTTGCCACCAGAGCACGCTGCACACAAGACTGCAGGCAGAAGAGGTGCACTAAGGGCTAGAGGAGGAAATACTGGCAAGAAATGTGTGGAACTGATGACCAGGCAGAAGTTTCCAGTCAGATGTGAATAAAGATCACCAAAAGAGTGTAAATGAAGTTGTTTGGTGTTAAATACCAAGAAACTCTCAAGATAACATACTGCTTTTGGTTTAGGGACAAACTAAAGAAGAAATTTCTAAAGTAAATTAAAAAAAAACAAAAAACAAAAAAAAACAAGCTGGACCAAAGTGTTCTCCATCAAAATAAAAAAAACAAAAACCACAATACTAAAAATAGCAAAACAAGATTATAAATAAGATAAGTTAACTAAATGCATAAAAGAAAACTCAAGTGATCTCATCTAAATAAGACTAGACTAGTCTAAAGTAAATAAACCCCAAACCCAAACAACCCAAGACTATGACAAATTGGTTGAGTTATCCACTTCAAATATGCTCTTATGTGTGCATAAAAAGATGAATGCTAAGTGTGACTTGCCAAATATATATTTTATTAGAGCTACAAGTTCACAAGATGAATTGCTTTTCCTCCAGACACACTTTAATGGACATATATTAAATAGCTACTTCAGGTTTTCCAGTCATTATTCATATTTACTTCAAAAACTATGCTGAATGTTCAATATTTTCAGCCCATATACCCTGTTACAACTAAACTAAGATGGTTAAAATCAAGCTTAGCAAATAAGAAGCAAGATCCACACTGTGCTTTGACGAAGGACTTTGTGATTTGTGATGTTTGTTTTCAAGAGGTTGAGAACATTTTTTTTTAAATTGCCTTTTGTAAAATCAACAAAATAAAGTGCAGTTTATTTTCATCTTCCACACAAACCAAGCATGGGCTAAAGATATAAAGATGAAAAGACAGCAAAGCTATGCACAAGTGTCATGCTGTTGTATCTTACATCTCATCATGTGCCCAATGTTTATTCCAGCAAAACTGATAAAGCTTTAATGCAGATAAATTATAGAGGAGCTACAAGAGTCTTAATCTCTCAGTCCAACCAGTTTAAATAATGCATGATTGCTTACAACTACATTAATATGCTTTTCATGCAGCAGTTAACTGTTTAACACAGCCCCAAGTCTCTTCAGAGTCATGATTGTTTCACAATTAGACTCATCACAAATGTGCATGCTGGTGTGAAAAAAAATATGTCAGCTTCCTTTAACATGGAATTCTAAATAGTGGAGATTCAGAAAATACTGGGTGGCACTGTTCTTGTTTGCCCTTGGGCCATGATTTGTGGAACATCAAGCTGGAAAAGGGACAAATTTTAAATAGGTTGGTAAGAAAAGGCTAAGGATTTAGGCAAATACGGACAGATTCAAGCAAACATGTGAAGATGAAAGCATGCTTTAGCTCCCACTGTGGTGAATTTGTTCTGCAGGAGCACTAGGTTGACTTGGTGGTCTTTTTAAGTTTCTGATTTAGGAACATGAAATAAGAATCCTGGAGTTAAAATTGGAGAACAAAGGGATCTCCAACTTTCTGCAGCACCATTCACTACAGATCCTCAAATTTCTTATGGCCTTCAGATTAGTTCAAAAACAGTAAGCGGAGAGCTTCATGGAATGGGTTTCTATGGTCGAGCAGCTGCATTCAAGCCATACATCACCAAGTGCAATGCAAAACGTCGGATGCAGTGGTGTAAAGCACGCCCGCCACTGGATTCTAGAGCAGTGGAGGGCCATTCTCTGGAGTGGCGAATCGCGCTTCTCCATCTGGCAATCTGATGGACGGGTCTGGTTTGGCAGTATATGGTCTGGGGTTGTTTATCAGGAGCTGGGCTTGGCTCCTTAGTTACAGTGAAAGGAACTTTGAATGCTTCAGCATACCAAGACATTTTGGAAGTTTGAAAAACACCATCACCTAATAGGATAAATGACAATTAACAAGGACCTCAGCTAGTCAAGAACACAGGAATCACCTCGCTCATTACAACTGCCGACTTTTTTTTTTTAGAATGACTTTCATTTATGACTATACTGTTGTTCCATAAACTCAAATGTTTTGTCTTATACAAAGAGACAAGCTTCCTCCTCCATCAGTGGGCTTTTATGTTTTTGCTAAATATATTTCAATGAATGAAGCGACTTAAATATTGCTGACCTACACATATATTTTTTTTAAATATTTAATCAAGTGTTTGCTGGAAAGTTACCTATCTTACAAAACGCTTGCTGCCAAATTGGTTCAACTTTGACATTAGAAATCAAAATCAGTCAAACATGACATGATTATTTCTTTTATTGAAATTTGCATGAGGATAAGTGTTACATGTAAACAAATACTGGACACTATTGCATTTATATCCTTGGCTAATTTGTAACGCATGTCCCCAGATGGGGCTTTAACAACATAAATCAGCTTTAAAACAATAAAAAAAAAGATAAAATATCAAATATAACATAAATGCTAAAATAACTCAAAACAGAACACAATAAAACAAGAACAATCGTGGAACCTGGCTGTATATCAGCTAAGATAAACATAAAGATTCTTGCCATTTTATAGTACAATCCAGTTACTATGATACATTCAATTATAAAAATGTATACAACTTGAAAGAAATTTGACGTCACAGTTTGACATCTTGAAATAGACCTCTCTCTCTCTTGAAGAAGCTCCTACTCTTCCCGAAACTCCGCCTTCAGAATGCTATCACAACAGTGTTCATCCATTATGTTGTTTGCAACCATTCTTAGGAGTGCTGGACTGAGAAGTGGTTTGTATGACAGGCTCAGCAGATGTCCAGTTTCACCAGGTGTTTGCTAATTTCTGCTGTTGCTAGTCTGGTGGAGGTTTGTGGGGCAGGTCATGAGGTGCTATGTGAACCAGAAGCTTGGCTGCAGACCTTTGTGAAAATAGGTGGCGCCTTGAAGGAGCAAGCGTTTAGGCACCCCTGCCCTGAATGGTTGCCACGGGAGATTCAAAGATTTCTCAAACATGCATGAAAAAAAATCAAAGCAACACTCCAGGTGTGTTTTTGGATGAGAGAAGTACATTCTAGCATAATATAAGGGTTAAAAACGTAATACATACCATTACCTTTTGAAAATGGTAGGCAGGAAGTAGTTCAACAAGTGTCTGTATTCTTGCACCTTGAGTGCCAACCTTAGGTCAATTTCCATTTAGTACTAGAACTGTGAATCTCTAATATCTTAGAGTGATCATTTGAAATTTTAAGTAATAATAACTAAATATTCATGCATTTTGGTTGTAAGGACCAAAATACAAACAGCTTCAATTGTTTAACTGTTATTGTTATCAAAACAAAAAAAAGTCTGAAAACTTCATGAGAATGCATATGACAGGACCCTGATTTCAAGTCATTATGACAAACTTACAGTTCTGAAGTATACTTTTTACACATTCATAAGCGATCAAAAAAGTACAGTGTAAGGCACATAATACTTGTGAAATTCTGAAACAAAATTTAAGTACCACATGAATAACAAATAGATAAAACTGATTTTGTGTAAATGCTGTTATGTGACGAATTGTAAACGACGACTACATTTAAAGAAATACAGACAGAATATTTAAGTCAAATTAGAAAAGTTATGAGCTGAGATTACGGAGATGAAAAACAGTTTGAGAGTAGCAAACAGTGCATAGAAAAAGTTATACACAAAGACAAACAGCACACATTTCATAAACCCGTCCGTGTATATGTGTGTGCGCGCGCATCAGCACAATGAGGTTAGTTGCTGAATTACATAATGACGTTTCCTTTGTCCCTCTGTCCTTAACACACAAACGGGTATTGGTTGCAACGGAATCGATTTCAAACAATATTGAAATAGGTAACTACAACTGTTTTTGAGTTCAATTAAGTGTTCTTGGCACTGCCATAGGTCCATAACCATAAGCATGGCAGTGTCAAAGTTTTAAGAAATGCTGAAACTTACATCTTCCAGATCACAATGAGCATAGGTGTGTGGTGAAAGTCACAAAAATATAAAATTTCTGCAATTTTTCTGGCTTGACGACCTGAGGAAGAATCAGATTTTCTTTTTTAAATATGTCCTCTCTGCGATGGACGGTTCCGTTTTCCAGCGCTGTCCTCACTGGCTTCTTTTCTTCAAGATTGCCGCAGAAATTTCTTTGTCTTTTGCTTTCTATTAAGCATGCAAAGCAGACCAATCATTACAAACGATTTGCATCGGAATAATTGCCACAATCATGATCCTCCTGGGAAAATAAGGCGGCCAAACCTCAGCAGTTTATACAACACTGTCTGCTTCTCGTCTCCCTGGATACAGCCTGGATGCTCTGATCTGGTCTTGGCTGGGTTGAGTGGTGGCATCACAGGGCACTGGAAGAGACTGACTGGAACCCACACACATGCCTTGAGACATAGCCTCTCTCTCTTTCTGCGCTTCCTTCTCTCGCCCAGCCAGCTGCCATCATTGAACAGACTCAAGTAGAAATCCTCCACAACAGGAAAAAGCTGCCAGCTCCAGTCGAAAGTAGGGAAAAAAAATCCACATAAAAGCGGGCATCAAAGAAAGAACATAACATTCGCTCTCCTACAAGATAAATAAAAAAGTCAGAAACTGCAGCTGTTCTGCCCAGTTGAAATCTTCCGCCTTTGTTTTGCGTCTTCATTTGTTTGGTTTCGCAGAGTTTTTTTTTTTTTTCTTCAGAGAATTAGCATTTTCTATTGAGCATTTCTAGTGTGATTTGTACCCCTCGAAACATTTTGCCCATACTCCCCATACCTCCTTATTTTCCCATCCATCTGCCAGACAAGTTTTCCCAGTCAGTCACAGTACCCAGCCTGCAACCCCTTTTGTGGGTGTGCTTGTTTAGTACAGGTCTGGTGTATGAGTGTGGCGCACGCCATGCCAGCCAGTATAGGAGGGGAGACATGTGGAAAAAAAAAAAAAAAAACTCTTTGTAAGTTATGAGAACGCTGAGGCAGACGCAGGCACTCATAAATTATACGGTTCATTTGCATACTCAGGGCATAAGACATTATGCAAATCCCACCAATTTGCATAATGAATTCCTCTTGTTGCCTCAATTGCCCAGTTGCTACTTTTTAGTTAATAATAAAATAAAGAATATCTAACAATAATGAATAGTATATTCAAATCCTTGTAAGCTCTTTGAGTTTAAAAAAGGGGATATTTTCTGCAGTCAAACCTTTGTCTTTGATTGAACAACCAAAACAATCACAGAATGTAAACAGGATAAACAAAGAAAAAGCATCTCAGAGTTAGAAAAAATATCTCACGGAGTCATTTGTAAATACAAGTAAAACTTATATTAATTACTCAAATCTGTTTTGACTAATTAAGCAATCCAGTGCATTGCTAATTAAGAGCACGCTGCAATTCTCTCAAGGGAACAGATCCTTTTATCTATTAATTTAACCACTTCTGTTGCTTGCCTTCAATCTCGTATGAGCCATAAACAAAAAATACTAGAAAGCCATTGTATTTGAGATAGTTATTAAATATGCAGAGTGTTATCAAAACTATTGCAATACACAATTATTCATAAATTGTTTATTTGCTATTATTTGCCAAGTAGCAGTAATACATGGGATTAAAATACATCTTTAAGTGAAACAAGCGATTGTGAATAAAAGCTAAAAAAAAACAAAAAAAAAACTAATAAGATCGTTAATAGGGGGATGGGAACTATCTAGAGTGACAATAAAACAAGAAAGACTTAATTAGAGAAATTGCAAGACAAGAAGAGGGGGAAAAAAGGAGATAATGCTAAATATTAAACGACCTGGGCAATATTGTGCAGTAGGATCAGCCAGTAAAAGTCCACTTTAATCAGCTACAGTCAGATAGCTTTGAGATATAGCTTGAGGTCCTTCACTTTGCACTGTGGCACAAACAGCCCACTCTGGTTTCACTGCACCAAAAAGAGACTGGATTGAGGACCAGCGCAGAGGAAAGGCAAAACTGAAAATCACTAATGCAAGGCATTAAGGCTAAAAGGCTTAACTCAGCAGACCTGATCAAAAACTTTTATTTAAAACTGTCATCTTCGATCGCTGGCTATTGGAACCAATTAGCACAAATGGTAATTAGTGTAAAGCAGCAGACAGGAAAAAAAAAGAGGGCAAGGAAGGATGGGTGTACTGGGCATGTGGAAGAAAACTACCATAGAGGCGGAGGGTGAGCAAGAGAGGGACAGAGATAGAAAGGGGATGGGCAAATAAGGGAAACAAGGAGCGAATGCGCCTGATGGCAGGGAGAAGTTGGCACAGTGCCATCCATTCAGTGCTAGCATCAAGACGGACTACTGTTCGCTCAGGGATTTGCTGATAGATATAGCTCAGAGGACAAAAAGGCTGCTGTCGTTTTGATAGTGCCAGGCTTCTGGATATTTTTATTTTACTTTTTTTTAGGATAGAAGGCCATCTTATGATTGAAGATATGGATCACCAGACATCCTTCCATTCCATCTTCAATGCCGATTTGGAGGACTAACGAACTTACGATGAAGACTTGACAGTAAAACCTAATGTTAAGATGTACTGAAATGGAAAAGCTGTTAAAACCTAGCACCAAAATTGAGGTAACGGGGTGGATGTTCAGCTCTCTAGAGTGCAACCACAGAGTTAATTACCGAAGATGTGAGACCGGAAGTCCAGTCTTGATAATGGATGCCAAGCACACAAGAAATGGGAGGCGGAGACAGAGTTGACACAGGATTTATGAATAACGACATTCTATTAAAAAAAAGCAACAAAAAAAAACTTTGAGCTGTTATGTTGGGATAACGGGGAGTGGCGGTGGCACAGAAAACTCCTCCCACTGACTCATTCTCACTCTCTCACTATCCATCGGAGCTACCGCTTGTGATGCCAGGCAGTCAGCCATCTGGGCAGGAGACACCATGCCATTCCTTTCGTTAGGAGTTAAGGATGTACCCTTTGGAAAATGATGAACCAGTCTCACGGTGGGCATTTAAATACGCAGGCAAAAATTCCTACCTTGGAGGATTGCCAGGGACAAATAATTCGGCAGTTTTGAGTCTCGACTGGTTTACCGGCGGGAACGTGAAGGCATCTGGCATGAAAACTGGCAAAGGACACTGGAGATATACCGTTATTAAACCCAATCGGCACGATGGGATACCCTTCGCGTATCAGCTGGTAAAAACAAAAGAGAACGAACAAACAGGAGGAGACCTTGCAGAGAAGATAGGGCTAATTAGAGCAAAATTAGCATCGTTAATTAGGCTGCGTCATTCAAAGAAACAATTTTAATACGTAAACAATAGGCTTCATAATGAAGAAGCGCAGCAACATCAACAAAAATCAAAAAGGAGTATATGTCACGAGGACAGCAGCAAAGAGTCTGACTTTTAGTAAAAGGACATAAAGCGAAAGCTTTCTTATGCCAACACCCTTCCCCCTTTACTCATAATTTTCCCCTGTGTAAACTGCCATTCTACACTGAACTGGCTGGCAGCAACGTTCAACGTTCAATGTCTACCACTGCAACAGATGCCACCAATCTGCTAGTGGCAAAAGGAGGAGGGAAGAATGGACCTGGGGGACTGTGGCTGAAGCTCAATAGCAGCTGTTTACAATGCCAAAGACATGAAACAGAGAGACAACAAAGAAGCAAACATAAGGATGCATCTTAATCAACTCCAAAAAGAAATTATCAATGGAGAGTTGGTTATACTAACTTTTATCCTTACTTTAAATGTGCAGATGTAAACAAATTTTATTTGCACTGTGGCAACATCATCATCTCGTGAAGGGACATATTTCTGCACATAAAAATAGCACAGTGGAATGCAAACATTTACGTTATACATCTGCATGTAAAATGACAGTGAAGGTCTTTAAATACTAGAGATTCAACCTTAGCAGTATGACAACAACAGTGAGACAGTTGGCACAGAAACTACTGGGGCGTTGTGAAACGGGCACACAAGAGATTGAAATGAGGAGGAAACCTGAGTACGAGAGACATTCAGGGGGGAGGTGCTGGCCTGCTTGCAACCACACTGGGGGTACTGAGGCCGTGGGAACTCATTACATCCTCCACACCCACATCGCTTTGACTTTTTTCTGCCCTTTCTTGCCAACCACCCAAAAGAACTGAACAAACTCCACCCTTAGAGGATTTTCCTTCCTGCGCTAAACTATCATAAACAGATGCAACACAGACCTAACAACTGGTCTGAACCACAGCTAGACATACTCTCTGGGTCGCAAGGAATGTTTCTCTGGTCCCAGTTCTGCTGGCACCGGGTACAGATGGGCATCGCTGCAAAGACACATCGGAGGATTTCATCAATTACGCGTCATTATCAACATGCACATGGAATTAAAATAGTAATTAGCAACGCATGGATATTCATCAGCTGGGTCCCCTTCAAACTGCATTTTTTTTCCTGGGATTTATTTGGAAGAACACCATGGTTGTACAAGATGAATAATTAAGAGAGGGATTTTGACTTCTTTTTTCCTTGCTACACAAATTTGGAGCCATCAGTATGTCTGAATCTGCCATCTGCACGACTCAACAAAGATCGTTTAAAAGATGGCATCTTTTCGGGCATTTTAAACGCACTAATCAGGATCGCGACAAACGCGATTAACAACGTAATTAGTAACTGCTGGCGCATTTCTTCTATATTCATCAGATGGAATCACGTGGATATTTTAATCACTCGGAACTAATCAACGCTGGATAATCACCCTTTTATTTGATTCCATGGGGGATATTAATTGTGGAGCATCTTCATTGCACAAATGGATTACAAAAAAAAAAGAGGGCTTGCACAAGAGAGCAGGATGGAATGGGGGGTGGAGTGTATCTGTGTGTGTTTGAGAGAGGGAGAGAGAGAGAAGGAAAGAACGGGAATATTTTTCTTCCTTCGTTATATGCCAGTAGTCAAATAATGCTACAGTACTCACAAACACCGGAGAGAAAAGCTCCTGCATTGCGAGTCATGTTCAAGGCACTTTTTCCTGGGAAACCTGGTCTCTTTACTTTGTGCGTGCTCTTTGTAGCACCATCTATCATGTCTGAAGACATCTGCGTATCCTGGCTCTGGATCTTACAAAACTGGGCGGAGAAGAAACCTTACAGGGACCTAATTTCTGTCAAACTGGATACTATTTGTGTTATTCTCATTACTAGTGCATTAGAATTGTTAATCTTCGAAAGAGTGGCGCTTGGTGGAAGTGGAATGCAGCAGAGAGACACTGTAGCGGGCACTGGCTAATGTCGTCTATGCTTAATCATCCTACAACAGAGCGGTTTTATGCATATTTCATTTGCATATCATTAACCGCCAAAGCATACGGGCAAATGGCAGACGAGAGCGAGGGAGTGGAAACCGAACAAAAAAAAAAGAATTGGAAAAAAAAAAAAGCAGCTCATTAAGCGATGACAATCTTCAAAGAAGTGTGCTTGATTCAGACAATCTGCCAATTTGTTTATTTCAAAATGACTTCATGAAAAAAATAATTGCTTTCAGCCTTTCGAACGAGGAATAATTAGTCGCGTTATAATCTATGCAAGAGGCCATCGCAGATACAGCGAATGTCTGTTCATGTAGAACTAATGGATATTTGTTGATTTGTAAAGCGAAACAGAAATTTGATTATTGCAATTTTTGACTTTAAAAAGTAAAATTATGGATCGAGCATGGAAAGTTATTTCTTTGAAATCATATGCACTGGATTCATTCAATATGTCAAATAAGATTAGAGCATTGCAAACGGTACAAGTCAAGTCGTGTGTTTCATTTAAACAAGCTGAAGAGTGAGAACAAATCTTTTCACTTAAAAGGAACAATTTGCACCAGTTTAATAATATCTTTAGACAACTATATTTAAAAAAGCTCAAAATACGCTTTAGTGTTAATTTCAAATGATTTAAAGCTCCTGGATATGTCAAGTACCTGTGATGAATCAATCTAACACACACACAAACAAAATATGTGGCAAGATTCGAAGCTTTTAAAACGACGAAAATCACCACAAGTTAAAAATGAATGAAGAAGTCTACACATTTTTCAGACCTTCAACAGTTCAAAGCATTCTAGCCAAAATATAACTTTAGTTTCATAAGAAATAAATTACTTAAAATAACCTATCAAATTCAGAGTTTAGGTTTTGACTTGAGGAGAGTTAAAATTGTTGTAAACAATAGCGTACTCATTGGCAACATTCACTGTAAAACAAAACAAAAAACAAAAACATTGTGTGTTTTCTTCCTCTGAGATCTGTAGTTCCCCCCCCCCCTTCTCCCAAACTCTTTACCCACCCGCTCCCTTTCCCGGGCACATTTCTTTAATTCCCCCCCCCCCCCATGGCCCCCCCCCCCCCGAACCCCCCACTCTCCCTCCTAGACAGAATATTCAAATGAAGTGAGCTTTACGCCTCACACAATTAACCATGTTTAGCAATTTGAGAAACGAGTGCCGCAGGGCCGGGGGGGGGGTTGTAGAGATGAGTAGCAGGCTGGCAGGGGGAGGCCCAGCGAATTTGTTGGGTATGAGCCTGGCGCTTTGTAATCATGGCACATGCAGATGTCGCTGTAGTTCTTCCAAAAGCGTCTACTAACCGAGCGGGAGGGAGGGGGGTAACGAGGAGCTCATTTGGCATCACATACCTCCACCGTGCGTTTTTAAAGAGTGAAAACTGGTAGTGCGTGAGAAAGTGGGTGGCAGCCAGGGCTGGTGAAGTTGACATGGGTGAGGATAGGCTTAAGGGAGATCTCTGCCAGCATAAGAGAATGTGGATGCAAATAATAAAGCAGAAGAGGTTAAGCAACACCAGTGAGATGTCAGTGTATTTCTGAGTCTGTCATAAGATGTAGACATTATGCAGAGTGCTGGTATTAATATGCATGCGAGCCCTCTTTATTATGCAGCTCAACGTGAGGTAATATTGCCACGCTGCTCTGCCATGCCTTGGTTACTCTCTGAATGTTATCTCTCTCTGAACAAACAGAGCCCTCATTTCCTCACTCTCCTATCAAAATGTTTAATTAGCTATCATATCCAGAGGTCAATATGAAATGAAAACACAAGCTCTATTGGTAACAGGTGGGGGGGGAAAAAAAATCACAAAGTTATATATCTCAGCAGGATAATAGTGTCTCCATATTATGAGTTTAATTTCATGCTTACTTTTAGCAGCATACATTTCAAACTCGTCTAGGAAAGGTCATTTGCATCTGTTCACAGTAATAAAAAAGCAATAAGAAAATAAACAGTTTACTCCATTTTTCACATTCAACTGACAATAGGATATTATGTGCAATGACTGATGTTTCTCAGAACTTCACATCAAACTCTAAACCAATGAGATACAAACATAAAATAATAAAATTTCAAATGGATGTGACACAATTCCACCTGACTTCCTTAGAACCTGCCTTATTACCACAAAAATAACCACTTTATGCAAGTGGTTATTTTTTTTAGCAACACCTTTTAAAATAAGTCTTGCTTTAGTGCTAACTACACAAAGCTACAAACAGCATTATGCTGTTCAGCAAAATTCAAGATGAAAAGATTATATTAAAATCAGTACTCAAAATTCTGCCTAAAAATATGATGTTTGCTGTGTGTAATATTTGGGCTATCAGTGAAAAAACTAAGTTGTTGTTTATCTACTATCTTATCGTCTCTTGCATTAGTAAATCACCTCTACAACGCATTTGGAGACCTATAACATCTGTCTTTGGCTCAACACATTGTCAGCAGAAAAAACCTAGAATAAGCTGTTACTGTTTGCAATCATAATGCAAACATTTTAAGAGCTTTTTATAGAGACAGAGGCCAATTTCAAGACATCAAATTGCAAAGTCGGATTTCTTCTCTTATTTTTTACAGCATTTTCTTATCAACTGAAAGTAACAGTTACTTGTTAGTGCTATAAAATGGCACTATGTGCCCAGAAAATACGGGATAGAAACCCTTTAACTTGCTACTTTTCCATTGTAAAACAACTGCACATCAAAAAACTCAATTTTAAAACTAAGAATTGGGCGCATCATTAAGAATTTATTGTAGGTTTTATTTAATTAACACTGGTTCATAATTATACAAACAATCTATATATAGCATTATCAGTATTTAGTTTAGTGTCCCCTAAAATATTACACATTAGCTGAAAGTTAGTGGTAGCAACTAATGTCAACAAGGTTCGGGCATATTTCTGATGGGCTGCTCTTCTTGGCATAGTGCAGTCCATCTAAATCAGTTAAGTTCCTGGCAAGAATCTGACTTTTAGGAATAGTTCTCTCTTTCTCTCCCAAACCCAAAATCTGGGAAATGTGTGGACTGTGTTAAAAAAACACAGAAAGCCAACCAATTTAATCAAACTATTCTCCCAAGACGAGTGGTTAAATATACAGCCAGAATCACAGCAACAGTGAAACCTGCTAAGTAAGATTTGCCCAGCCTCCAACCTTGTATAAATTAGAGAAAATCTATAAAATATACAACCTTCTACATCCATACTAATTCAGGTTTTGCAAATAATTTCAAGTCTTGGGTTATATGTTCCATTCAAAGAAAAAAAAAACAATGGTTTAAAGTATTAAAGTCCAGAATTAACATGATATCTATACCTGTGATAGGTAGATGCAGACTTTTCACAACAATATGTGTGGCAACCGTTATGTCCAACTGAGCAACAAGAATGTTTCCTCAGCCGCTGTTTTGTGTGAAGTCAGTAGATTAATTGGTTCCCAGCAATTCTGTTAGATTATTATTAATATGCTGTCATGGAAGCAACTGCAGTGACCCAATGTATCTGTCCAGCTTTTCATAAAGTGCTGTGAAGGTCAACTGTCAATCAGCACACGCAGTATGATAATAAGTTTTTAAAGTCAGTACGAGGACGCCATTAGCACTAGCAGTAATGGCTGATGAAAGAACTGTCATAACTGATAGCCTCTGGGGATGATTGCTTCAAGACTGATTAGGTGAGGAGACAAAGAAGAGAAGGTGGAAGCTTCACCGCAGAGTGCACATACATTTCAGACAACAGACGAGATGGTCCTACATAATAACATCAGCACACAAAGAACTATCTAACAAGTTAGATAATGTCTAGTGGCCTGGCGTAATGTCTTTAGTAATACGTTATAATATCGAAGCAACAAAGCCCTGATTCTTCAATAAAACTGAAGTCTTAAATGAATGTCAAGGACACATCGAGGAGGAAACACAGACAGACTAAGTGCAGTACTATGACAGAGATAAAGATGTACCATTACAGTTCGACTATTCTGCTTCGTTTGGTGAGAAGCAGCCTGTTTCAAATAGTAAAGATTGACTACCCATGAGAAATAACAAGAAGAGCAGGAGATCCTGTGGGAACCAGTCACTAAATGCCCCTTATGGGTCCTACATATTCTCTGAGATACTGTATAATTGTATGGGATCATTGGCAAGTGGACAGTTTAGTGTCAGGCAAATGGAAGAAAAAAAAAGGTTCAAGAGCTTCCATGATCCCTATTCAGAGCCGAGTTTAAAACAAAAGCTTGGACGGATAAGACAGAGGAATCGAAAATATCTGAAAAAAAAAGGAGAAAAAGAGGAGAAATAAGTGCAAGTGCTGAAGATGAGACAGTGTGAAAGAATGGCTTGTCTGTGCTGGTCCCACATGGCCTGAACTGGGCAGCTGGCAAGGGAGCCATTACATGCATGTCTCTGACAGCTCACTCTCCCATTAAGGCAGCAGAAAGTTAACACCACCACTCTCATGCCCTGGCTTTGTAATGCAGACTATATTATCAGCCAGTGCATATACTTTAATAGTTTTAGTGGAGAGTTACTTCACATTTGAGATCTTTATAGGCACTTAAAGCATTCACCAAAGTCTTTACAAAGAGATTGAACAGCAATGGCATTAAAACACTTCTGACGCATTCTCGTGTTCAAATAGACCAAAAACCGGTAATATTTCAATGCATGTTCTCAAATTATAAGACAAAGACTCCCCGGACTTGTCAGTAAAATCAGTCAAATTCACTTTAGATACAGCTTGTAAGCTGCAGAACATGCCATTGGCACTTTCTGAATTTATTCTGTTGCCAATTGTAATTTAATCCAGATCAAATCTAGATCCCAGAAATAAGATTTTATGAAGGCATGCCTCTGATTACACAACATGAACTGATCTACTGAGTTGTTGTGCCGTGCATGATGTCATTGATTACACAGAAATAGAAAATATAATGTTTCAAAAATGTGAGTACGGTGGATAACCCATTATATATTCAATAAAAAGGTCACAAACTCTAAGTTGAAGTAAAAATAATCAAATGTTATAGTTTGCCCAAAACTTGAATAGTAAAGTTTGTTTAATATCAGGAAGCCAACTTATTTAGTCCATTTCTATTGTTTTTTTTTTTTTTTTTTTGTTTGTTTTTTTTTCATTGAATGGCCTCTCCTTTCCTTCACTTTTTCCTCCTCTGGTTTCACTTTATCCTTTTATGTGTGTGGTCTTATAGAAATATGCAGATTTTACTAGGTCAAATCCTATTACTCCCCTGCTTTTTGCCTGTTCTGCTAGCATTGACCTGATGCACTACAGCTGCCAAGCTACTCTCCTGAGCTCAACATGTCAGACAGCTACAGTACTCAGGCACGATGCTTCCTGTCTCGCATGCCACACTTGTCTAACAATGCTGAAGTCCATCTGAAACACCATGAACCTGTGACTGGGAAACTGTAGGAACAAAAGGTAACTCAAAATTTACTGCACTGTCCAGAGAAAACATGTGTGGTTAAAATCATGCTGAAAAAGCAACATGCGCAACATAAATTAGGTTATTAAACCTAATTTCTGATGCATGTAATATGTCATATGATGCATGTATATGATTTTTGTTTAATTGGTAATCTGAAAGCCGAAGCATGTGCCTTTCATGTAAACGTAGAAAAAATATCACTCATGTAATTTACAGTGGTTACACCATAACTGTGAAAATTCTGGGCTTAGATTAACTACAATCCAAATTATGACTTTTACAATATATGTTCAAAACTTATATAAGTATTTCTTCTTCTTCTTGTTTTTTTTTTTTTGTTGTTGTTCTTATAGTCAAACTCGTTTTTCCACTGGAAAAGAAGCACGGTTCATGATATGAAGCACCATTTAAACTGACTTTGCATAACGCAAAGATTTTTTTTATCTCAGACTTCAATAAAATATTCCATTATAAAAGAAAACTTAAAGAACTATGGAACAAAGTGTTTTAATCAAGACAATGTGCCATTTCCGTGTTGGCTTTTAAAGTGAAATCAAGTCTTACCTGGCTCTTTATAGATACAATTTACAACTTAGTCCAGACGTCTTCAACCATCACTGGAACTGCTTTATCTGAAAAGAAGTTCAACATAAAGAAGAGTGAGATAACTAATATAAAAAAGATGACAGTCTAAAAATAGCAGGTTCATAATAAGGAATAAGAATCAGATACTCTCAATAAAAAGACAATAGAAAATGAAAAATTACCTCAAATAGGGACAAACAGACAAAAGGAAAAGGCTTTTTATCATGCACAGATTTTTACTTTATTAACGTTCCACTTTGTTTGTCATACAAATAACACACCTACTATATTACCCATCCCATTACAAACTATGTAGGACATAAAAGTCAGCTCTGTAGAAAATAAAAGAAACTCAGTCTCCATTAGTGTATGTCTTTAAAACATACACTAGAGTTTTTCACCAGACATTTTGCAGATCAAAAACTGGTTTCTAAAGATATGCCTTTGTCTAATTAGCAAGATCACTTCTCTGAAGCTGTATAGCTCTTAAAGAATTAATTGTCTTGTCAATGTAGACAGTGGAGCCAGTTGTTGCTGACGTGACCAATCAAAATAGTTTATTTCAGTAGTTGCGAAAGTTAGTCTTGTGACGCTATAGGTTGTGAAATCTTAGGAGGGTTTGTATTAGGTGTCCAGAAATCAAATTACTTTAAAATGTGTGCTTGTGGTTTATTTTTTACATACTTGCACATTATTGTCAGAGCTTTGTGGGTCACAAAGCTCTGACAAAAATTGAGAACAAAGGTGTTAAGAGTTAATTTAACACTTGTGAACATATTATTTCCGTATTATAACTTGTCATTTTTTTAACATAAAAAAAAAACAATGTGTTAAGTGGTAATGAAGGCAGAAAATTGCCAGGAAGTGGATCAGTTTTTCTTCTTAGTACGAACTTAATAATGCACTACAACATTCTGAAAATTAGTTCCTAGATTTTTTCCAAAGTCAGTCAATGTGTCAAATAACATTTTTGAATGATGACAATTAAAAACTTCTTCCCTCGTTATTGCAGACCTTGTTGTTCTAAATCGGGGCTTTATAATCTGCAAGCACTCTATCCTGTTATTTTCAAAACTATGTAGTAGGAACGATCTATTGCATTATATCATGTGGTTGTGTATGAGTTAAGTCACTTTCAGAGCTAAATATTGTGTTATGCCACAAGTTTCCTGGCTGGAGTCAGTTTTTCTCATGTAAAACAAAATAAATGCGGACGTATGTCTTTTATATCTTTATAAATTATGTCGGTCACAGATTGTCTGCTTGAGTGTTTTGGAGTTGTTGCTTATGTGTTTGATTCATTTTAAGTGAATGGCAAAAGCACCAAGCGCCTCCATAGCTTTACAGGAGTAACTCTTTAGGTGAATGCGCATTTCATTTATCCATGATTTCTAGTTTTTCTGTGCACCTAAGATTTATATGTATAATTTGCTGCATGTTAAAACACCGTTGTGGAATTTAAAACACAATAGAAACTCCTAATGTGATATTACAGCAATAAAAAAAGACACCCATTGTCACCCAGTATAACCCGATTTATCTTAGATATTAAAGTAGTGGAAACACAGTTCTCCTTTTAGATGTAAACTTTATCAATATAGCTTAATTATGTTATGTACCAAAAAGAGTCAGTATAAATATGCACAGAGATTATGCACAGTGATTATGGAGAGCCGTTATATTTATATATACCGTTATATTATTACCGTAGGTTATAATATGGTCGTAACTTCCTACCGGTCCATGCCTAACAGCAATTTGAACTTTTCTTATGTTATGGCAAAAACAAAGCTTAAAAAATTAGCAACTTTGACTGAAACTTTTTGAAAAAGGTGACACGCCCTAAAATCTGTAATTGTAGGATGCGACAATCATAAAAATCTATTGCAACCGTCTAAGCAACACTCCAGGTATATGTTTACTGACGGAATAACGTTCTAACATGATCTCAAAGTTTATTTTTGCATAATCTCCCACTTTAAGTTGTTCATGGTTTTCTGGAGCAAATGTAGCAACTAAGTTAAGACATTGCAGCTTGGTCTTTGTTTTACATCCAATTCAAGTATGTATCATAACTAAAAAAAAGCACTGCTAAATATTGGCGTCAATAAACTGCATCAGTGTCCATATTTGTATATTTTCAAACAATAACTTCTGACAATGATTGCTGGAACAATTATGACTAATATGTCATGGCAGGTAGAGGATTTCTAAAGACACACTTCACTGAAAGTAACCCTTCTGAAAACAGAACATGGTGGTGCATCTCAAAAAAAGCACCCAGGAAATCCTTCTTAATAAAACCTCCTTTGTCTCTCTTAGTCGTCCTGCTCTGTATTATCAGTATGTTGCAGAAAAGTGTTGCAATTAGAGCAGCTTTTGTCATGCAAATCAATTTGACAGCACAACAATCAGTTAGATATGCTGGCTCCTGTCTCTTTCCCCTTCATTCACCTGCCCTCTCCCTCTTTTCTGCATAGTTCTCCCTGGCATTTGTAGCCATTCCTGCATTTGCATTTTTTTTTTCTCATATGAGGTTAGTGTATGCATTACTCAGGGCAAGTGTGCAAGGGTATTAGTGACATATGATAAATGCTAAATTCAAAATCCTAACGTATGCTACACTGTAATCTTAGACACAAAGCGAGATAAATGTCTTCTCTATAGTTCACATTGAATATTCAAAACTAAATCAACAGTTTCACATTTCCTGATTGAACAATTACTGATTTAATTCAAACTTGCACCTCTTCAGAAGAAGCAACTGTCACCATATGAACCTCACAACTAAATATAAGCACAAATGTGCAGAAAAAGAAAAAAAAAAAACAACAACAAAAACAATACAAGCCAACCTGTCAAATAAAAACATTTTGTGGACAGGGACCAAAGTCTCTCCAGAAGCCGTTTGATTTTCTTGTCAATTGTTGATGTTTGCCTTTAAATATCACACTTGCTTGTTTCCATCTCCTCCTCCGCCACTATTACCTAGTAATTTTGCAGTTATTTTTTGTCAAATGGTTAAACACGTTTTTCTTATTTCTTCCTTTGGATTCAACAAATTTCTTGTACATTTTGTTCTTTGGTTTATTGACAATTTCTGCCCATGTAATAAATCACTTTCATATTTTGGAGGCTAACTCCATGTTCTAATCCTGACTAAGTCCACTGTGTGGGCCAAGCTAGACCCACTAATGTCACTGGAAGGTGTGTATGTCTCAAACTAATCTTGATCAGAGGAGCAACAAATTCGATAGGTGAGCATCTGGTCTATAGGTGAGCAGACCAGGTCTCCTTTTCCAGCAGCCTATCATATAGACCGAAACCAATAATAAGTGTGTTCTTCATTAATTTGACTAGTATACTTTAGAAAAAATAAAAATAAAAAAAATCAGTATTTTCTCGGAAATTTATGGTTTTTCTATGTTTATGTTCTCGTGACTTGTTTCCATTTTTGGCGTAGCACGTCCCATTTTCCGAATAGCGTTACAGATTTGTGCTTTTCAGACAGCAAATAATACTTTGGAGTCAAATTAAAAACAATGTTTTCTTTAAAGTTTTGGCAGTTAAAATTTTAATAAAGGTTGAAATAAGCAAGTAAAAGTTGACACTGTTGCAATTATTTAACCTTTCCACAGTCTTACCGTGATGCTCAGGAAGAGCGCAGCAAATATCACAGTCGGACAATAGGGAAGCGGGGTGTCCCGTCAGTCAGTGTGACCCCAACGGACTGTGCTATGAGTAAAAAAGCATCTCTTAAGACTCGGAGAGGATTAATATATGAATATGCACACTGAAAATGTGTTTGCAATTGTCATGTATAATCACATGATTTTTATAAAATTATCTAAATTCATATTCAAGTTTTTAGTTATGTGCAGAAGCAAGACGAGAAGACAGTCTAGTAAAATCAGAAGGAATAGCTGCTGCTTTATCTAAGGGTCAGACAGATTTCTTTTGACAAAAACAGGGAAAATTTAAAATATATTATAAAAGAAAAAGATGTGGGCAAGAGATAAGAGAGAGTATATTCCAGAGCATAAAAGTGAAAGAGACAAGGAAATCAAAGCTGCAGGAAGGTCTGTATGCCTTAAAACTGAAGTCTCAATCTCATGTAGTTTTCCAAGAGCTTTGTAAAGGCATTGCCTTGAAAGTCATGAATAAACATTGGACTGACTTTCTGTGCATACATCATACATCACAAGTGAATACTATCTAATGGATGATATTTTTCACCCCCAGACACATGAAACACCAGTGAAATTCCCAACCAACCCATTCAGCTACACGTATGTAAAACGGACCACTGACAAACAGAAAAGGAAGGCCTGAATGAAGGAAAAATGGGAAGTACTTAGAAAAAATATATTTTACCAAAGTGGGTCCTTCATTCTAGAGGCACAACATTAATGTTATAGGAAGTGGGTCCAGGGCACAATCTAGGATTGGTTACCAATTCCTGGTGACGGAAATGGATGCAAAAATAAACTACCAGAGAAATACCAGAGTCTGAGGTATGAAGATGTGGACAGCACCAGGCCCGTACATGAGCCACGGCCACTGGATCAAATGGCTGACTTTTCTCTACCAGTATTTAGCACTGCATAAGAGCGAACTGATATGGGTTCATCCTAAATATGGCAGAGGCACCAAAAAGCATTAGAGAAGCCAAACATTAGCTGAAGGTTAACAGAAATGTTGATTTAGACAAAACATTGCATATGTTAATCCTGGAATGTCTCAAGGTGTACAAGGTCGACAACGTTCTGAGTCTTCATTGCAAACTCTGTGAATCTTACAGCAACTTTGAACAAATTATGCAAGTCTCAATAAAATGCTGTATATACCAAAGAGATTGCGTTCTACATAGGCCTGAACTCCATCTACCTACTAATCAACAAGACTGGCTATGGGTACTGATTCAGAAATAAGATTACCACCAGTCACCCCCTCTACATGGATGAGATCAAGCTTTATGCTAAAAGTGAGCAAGAAATCAAATCACAAGTTCTGAGAAGTCCAACTCAATCGCAAGAACAGGGTCCAGGAAATCAACAGTTATGCCTTGCTAATAATCAAATACCTTGGGGAGAAAATTAAGTTAGCCTAAGAAAGAAATTCAGATTCCCCATGCATGGTAGACTCCACTCTAAAGCCAGAGAAAAATGGAAATTCACATTATCGCAACTGTTCATTCATGATGAATGTTGACATTACAAAGACAAAGCTGAGTATCTATATACGACTTGGTCAAGTTAACCAGCAAGTCTCCCTGCATTTGCCCAAAACCTCAATAGTGGTTCTACTGTAGATGTTTCAAAGGGTTTAATTTTCTTAAATGCATCCTAAAGAGTAATATGACTCTAAAATGACAGACTGTAATAAAAAAAAAATAAGATGTGGCTATTTCTTTATAACAAAAGGCTGCTAAGAAATGTCTTTAAAAAGTCCAGTTGGAAATAGCATTTATGGTAATGTGTGGGGTTATGGCAAAGAGACTATCATTTCAAATGTATTTGATTTTGTACCTGAAAGTGTGGGTGTATAAACTTTGAGGAGCCTTAGGCAACTATGTTGCAGGACATTTCCACAAAGGATCATTTAAAATATCCATCAAAGGCAAAAACTAGTTTATGTATGTCAGAGCATATACATTGTAGGGCAGGGGGATGTACACCTAGCCAATCGTGAGAGCAGTGTTGTGCAGCCAACTGCAGTAATTTCTTTGATCATTTTTAATGGCCATTCTTTCATGTGAGGCTGCCTCTCATACACATCCCCCTGCAGGTGTCATCTCATTCCTTCAGCTGCAAGATTAGTATGCGGCAGGCAATAAAAAGCCAGACCATTACACTGTGCAGCACACATGCACAATCTCAACACAGTGGGATCATTACCTTTTCAAAGGATGATATCAGCTCACTGTCTGCAGAGAGACACAAAGAAAGCAATGCAGGCTTACCAGAGAAGAAACCAAAGGCAGACAAAAAAAAAAGAAAAAAAAAAACGGCAAACCACAGCTGCACTTTGGATTGGAAGGGTTGAAAAACGCTCCATCAATCAGCATCCAAAATGATGAGAGGCAGGCATGCAGACAAAGTCTTAAGATCTAGTTTTATGTGAAGACTTAATCGAGACAGCAACATTTAAATTAAGTGAAAAGGTTGGTGTTGTTTCACAGTACCTGGGTAATTTCTTCTCATTATGGTTCCTATTTTATATTCTAATCTTAGTAAACATCCATCCATTATCTAATACGCTTACCCTTGTGTTATGCTGATGCCGATTTCCAGCGGTCAACGAGCGAGAGGTGAATTACGCCTTGGACAGGTCAAAAATCCAGCACAGAGACAAACAGGACAAACAACCATAAACATTCACAATCACAACTAAAGAAAATTTAGAGAGACCAATTAACCTAATAGTCATGTTTTTGGACTGTGAGAGGAAGCTGGAGTACCCAGAAAGATCCCAGAGAAAATGCAAACT